CCCTCCACCACTATTGTGGAAGGATTCCTGCGTTTTTTAAAATTTTAGATATGAAAGAAAAACAGTGTTATGAACATACAGTAATTATTCAATGAAAGGGCTACTTCTCACATTGGGTTGGATTCAGAGAACTGGCAGGAGGAAATCTAAAAGTGCAACATGGGAAGGGGGCAAAAAGGTGTTTAAAACATACTGGATTGCTGGCAAGTCATAGAATCATAGAATCATAGAGTTGGAAGAGACCACAAGGGCCATCGAGTCCAACCCCCTGCCAAGCAGGAAACACCATCAGAGCACTCCTGACATATGGTTGTCAAGCCTCTGCTTAAAGACCTCCAAAGTAGGAGACTCCACCACACTCCTTGGCAGCAAATTCCACTGTCGAACAGCTCTTACTGTCAGGAAGTTCTTCCGAATGTTTAGGTGGAATCTTCTTTCTTGTAGTTTGGATCCATTGCTCCATGTCTGCTTCTCTGGAGCAGCAGAAAACAACCTTTCTCCCTCCTCTATGTGACATCCTTTTATATATTTGAACATGGCTATCATATCACCCCTTAACCTCCTCTTCTCCAGGCTAAACATGCCCAGCTCCCTTAGCCGTTCCTCATAAGGCATCGTTTCCAGGCCTTTGACCATTTTGGTTGCCCTCCTCTGGACACGTTCCAGTTTGTCAGTGTCCTTCTTGAACTGTGGTGCCCAGAACTGGACACAGTACTCCAGGTGAGGTCTGACCAGAGCAGAATACAGTGGCACTATTACTTCTCTTGAGTGTGCATTCAGTGGCAAAGCTGGGTTGATTTCTGTGTAGGGGAACCCTGTGTAGGGTTCTTGCTCTTCTAGCAGAAAATTGAAATTTATTCAAGTACAGTGTTTAGTGGCATACTCTGTGTGTGCTTATATACACACAAAATGAAAAAGCTTGTCCAACTGTAAACTGTATCACAGTTCTATCACATAGATTTCAGATTTAAAACAGAGTTTGGATCATCCACAGAGTATTTACCCCTTTTAAAGGCATTGAAGTGATTGGTTGCTGGTTTGTGAAGCATATGGTAGTATTTGTCAGTTGTGGAAGTTCAGGAAGATATAGAAAAAGTTGGAATAAAGAGAGAGGGTTGCTGGTGGAGGAGGGTTAAACAAATTCTAAGTAAATGGGTATTTTTGTCATCACTTGGCAAATCGAAGCTCCCCTGATGCTACGCCACTGAATCTACTTCCAAAGCACAGCATGAAGTCTCTGAGATTACGCCATCCTTCTCCAACTTGGTTCCCTCTCTATGGTCTCAGTCCTGTCTTCCCTGAACATTGGCCATGCGGTCTAAGGCTAATGGAAGTTAGAGTGCAAGACACAGAGGGCACCAGCATTAGATCAGGGGTCAGCAAACTTTTTCAGCAGGGGGCCGGTCCACTGTCCCTCAGACCTTGTGGGGGGCCGGACTATATTTTGGGGAAAAGAATGAACGAATTCCTATGCCCCACAAATAATCCAGAGAGGCATTTTAAATAAAAGGACACATTCTACTTATGTAAAAACACTCTGATTCCTGGACCGTCCATGGGCTGGATTTAGAAGGTGATTGGGCCGGATTCGGCCCCCTGGCCTTAGTTTGCCTACCCATGCATTAAATCTACCCACTTCAGGGGGGTCATTGGTGACTACAATGATGGCTGACCACCAAGCCAATCAAAATATGTGGATCCCTGATCAAACAACTGATCAGGCAGCAAAACAACTAGAGTTGGGCATGTAGAAATTCACCTGACAAGCCTTACAAGCCCTAAACCTGCCCATAATGATTCTCAAGCCATTTTTTGGGGTGTGTGTGATCATAGTGGTGTGAGCTTTGGGAGTCTTATGAAGCTCAAATATCCATGGGGCTGGCTGATATAAGCCTATACTTGAAGGATGGATGGGTTCAGAAGTTACCTACCTCAGAGGTGAGACACGTGGAAGTTTTGTTCTTGGAGTCATTCTTGAATTGCTTGGCTTTCTGACTACTTCAACATTGGGATTTTATTGGTGGGTTAATTGTCTTTTCTTAATCTTGAGTATTTCCACTTCTAGGAAACCAATGCAGCCTAGGAAAACCTGCATTCAAATCTTTCATTTACACCAGGGAGGCCAACACACCCCAGTCTCAATCACAGACACATAGAGCCTTCTGCCTGCTCACTCTCACGAGGCGTTCAAAGTTTGCCAGGTGGCAGGAGAAATTTTGCACCTGGCTATTGGCAGGACAGCGGGTGGCGCTGTGGGCAAAACCTCAGTGCCTAGGACTTGCTGATTGTAAGGTCGGCGGTTCGAATCCCCGCGACGGGGTGAGCTCCCGTCGTTCGGTCCCAGCTCCTGCCAACCTAGCAGTTCGAAAGCACATCAAAGTGCAAGTAGATAAATAGGGACCGCTTTATAGTGGGAAGGTAAACAGTGTTTCCGTGTGGGGCGCTGGTGCTGGCTCACCAGATGCAGCTGGCCACGTGACCCGGAAGTGTCTTCGGACGGCGTCGGCTCCCGGTCTCTTGAGCGAGATGAGCACGCAACCCTAGAGTCGGTCACGACTGGCCCTGACGGGCAGGGGTACCCTTTACCTTTATTGGCCACTTGCAACCAAGTGAAGATGCCTGGGCGGCAGGTTGGTGCCTGACGTCTCCACCACTTGGAGGTGCGTGCCTGAGGATCCATGCATCTTGACTGTTTTCACACACGAGCAACACATCCTGAAGAATTCTGTCCATTATATTTTGTCTGCACAATCAGAATGAATTTCAGGAACCAAGAAGTCGTACTGAAAAATACGACTTTCAAGCCGTCTGGCCCCAAAATGGCAACTAGCCATTCTGTTTTGGCGACTGTATCCCTGGTTTAAGGAGCCATTTGGCGTCTAGCTTATATATCTGAGTTTCTAACACTGTTCTCACGTGTACACACATGTACACACTCCCTCACCCCCAGTTTGGTTCAAGGTGATAGGGAGTTTTAAACCTCTCCTCCTGGTCTCATAGCACCTCCTTGCTCCCTAAAGGTAAAGGGACCCCTGACCATTAGGTCCAGTCGTGACCGACTCTGGGGTTGCTGCGCTCATCTCGCTTTATTAACCGAGGGAGCCAGTGTACAGCTTCCGGGTCATGTGGCCAGCATGACTAAGCTGCTTCTGGCGAACCAGAGCAGCGCACGGAAACATCATTTACCTTCCCGCTGTTGCGGTACCTATTTATCTACTTGCACTTTGATGTGGTTTCAAACTGCTAGGTTGGCAGGAGCTGGGACCGAGCAACGGGAGCTCACCCCGTCACGGGGATTCAAACCGCCGACCTTCTGATTGGCAAGCCCTAGGCTCTGTAGCTTAGACCACAGCGCCACCCGCGTCCCCCCTTGCTCCCTACTACCCAGCTAATGGGCACTTGTGGGAACAACTGAGGAATGTGCACATCCATGGGCTCTTCGCATTGCCAGCTAGGTGGGTAGGGGGTAAGGGTGACGGAAAGCATGGAAAAGATTCTTGACAGCTGCATTGTGCACCTGCCCATGCTTCCCAGCTGACAGACAATCCGCTGTTTGGTGGGTTGAAGGAATGCAGTTGTCAGCACAGGACTACGAGTGCGGGTGTGTGGCCGAGCATCCTTTGAGGAACCAGCCAAGCTACCTGCACATTGTCCACGTGTGGATAACACCGTCAGTTAGCCAATGGCGGATACAAAGAATAGGTTCAAGTGACTGAAATAGTGTTTTGATTCTGGCCAAGATTTCAAGGTCAGAAGCCCTCTTTCCTCTAATGGTCTGCTCTAACTGGGAATGTTGTGAGGCTTCCACTCTGTGGCTGGCTTTTCATGTCATTAAGTAATATGTAATTTCTACTTTTTTATATCTGTAATTCCTGTAAGCCTAAGTAGATGTAACGGCAATCATTGCACATTCTCCCCCTCTCTTCTCCAGCCTTCCACTTCTTCTAGATTGCAAGCCCCTTGTGGTAGACAGCCATCCTTTCATTCTTTGTAAAAGCACTATGCACACGGAAAAATAATGTGTTGGGAATACTCTTTTAAAGAAACTGTTGCTTCCTTTGGCAAGAGGGAGTGGGTAGGATGCAAATGGAAAGAAACGACACTGAAAAATGTATGTTTCCTAAGCTTCAGAAACATCCTTTTTGATGTTGTCTAAAACCCATAGGGTTTCCATTTCGAGGTGCACAACGGATTGTTTCGATTCTGTTTTTATATTATTTATTTGAAATAATTTCTATACCACCAACATTTTTAAAATATCATGGTGTAAAAATCAACAATGAAAATACATATAACAGATACAGAACGTGTCATAAATCAGTGGATTAGATTGGTGCATCAACATAGCTGGATCACTCCACAGAGAAAACCTGGGTAAAAAGTTCTAGGTGGGCACCTAAGTGGCAAACAGGAGCTGCCTGCCTAATGTTCAGGATTTAGAGTAAAACTGCAAGTGACTTTTTTTGTCTGAGAGGTACCTTGGAGTCTAGAGAGTGTGTTCTCCCTACCACCACCCAAAATAGGGTGGATTTTTTTTTATTTTTAGTCAACTTGTTTTTAACCTCTGACTTTTCATTGATAATTTTAATGTACACTATATGTTCTGTTCCGTGTAAGCCTCTTGGAAGTTTCAACAGTTAAGAAGTATACAAATTTTGAAAATAAGTAAATATGTGATGTATTTTGTGTAGTAATTAGAATATTGGGCTTTCTTTTATTTTGTCAAGTACACTTCTGGATTTTCCCCTCCTGCTTTTAAGAAATTATTAAGCATTTCCTGAGCTACAGCAGTATTGACTAACATGTTTATGAAAAGAAAAAATGCTGTCAGAATTTGGGTGCCAGGAAGTTGGTATTTTGGCTTCCATTTCTTAGTGGTTTATGGGGGATTATCTATGGCTGTTGCTATGCAGTATTTTTATTTGGGTTGGGAAGAGTAGAAGTGTGTAAACCTGAGGAAAACTAGTATCCCTCTTTTCTATTAAAATTTATTAATCCAGGAAGATGACAGTGAAGAGGAGCCCAAGCTGAAGTATGAAAGGCTTTCTAATGGTGTTACGGAAATTCTTCAAAAGGACGTCGCCAGTTGCATGATGGTTCATGAGAAGGTAAGAGTTTGTTTGTTTGTTTTTAATGCACACACATATGTAATATTTTAAAAAATGTAAATTTGTGCTGTCTTCACCAAAACAGTTGAGATTTGGGTATAGATGATACCAGAAGCTCTAAATTGTGGTAACAAACACTGTAGAGATACTTCCAGTTGCTGAGAATTTGTTTCCCGGCAAGCATGAGGGTATAGGTAATTATTTGCTTAGAGATTCACTAAGTGAGGTCTGACTACTGTGAGCTCTTTGCACGCTGCCCAATTTGTCCCTGGAGTAGTTCTGTGTTAGCTGCCACTTCTGAAGAAGTGGAGGACAGGGGAGGTGGTTTTGATTTAAATTCTTTACTTGGCAAATCTCCTGCAGCCACCTATTATCCAATCACTTTTTTGACGTTTTTGTCAAGTGCTTGGTGAATAAACATGACCTCCACTCAGCCCCGTGCTGGGATAAATTATTTGCATTTACTGTTTTTCTTCAAGTCACCCACCACTCACCCATGCTTGAAAACCTTACATTATATTCCTGGGGTCAAGTGCACCCCAGTTAAGTTAGAGGTAATAGAAGGGGAAAGAGAGATGTAATGTAAGGAATCTAAGCGAAGGGTTGGTTTTTTTATATATGTACAAGGATGTGACTATATATTAGTGTTAAGAGGCATCTGAAATTACATTTCCATATCCTTGGACACGGGTGGCGCTGTGGTCTAAACAATAGAGCCTAGGGCTTGCTGATCGGAAGGTCGGCGGTTCGAATCCCCGCGAGGGGGTGAGCTCCCGTTGCTTGGTCCCTGCTCCTGCCAACCTAGTAATAATAATAATAATAATAATAATAATAATAATAATAATAATAACAACAACAATAAATTTTATTTATATCCCACCCTCCCCAGCCGAAGCCGGGCTCAGGGCGGCTAAAATAGTGCAACATTCTAAAAACATTATAAAAATTAATTAAAATCAAAATTGATGACAACCATACTAAAGTTCTGTAGAGATTGCCAGAGGAGGGAGTGAGGCTGCGCCCTGACCAAAGGCCTGGTGGAACAGCTCTGTCTTGCAGGCCCTGCGGAAAGATGTCAAGTCCTGCAGGGCCCTTGTCTCTTGTGACAGAGCGTTCCACCAGGTTGGAGCCACAGCCGAAAAAGCCCTGGCTCTAGTTGAGGCCAGCCTAACCTCTCTGTGGCCTGGGACCATCAAGATGTTTTTATTTGAAGACCGTAAGTTCCTCTGTGGGGCATACCAGGAGAGGCGGTCCCGTAGGTACGAGGGTCCTAGGCCGTATAGGGCTTTGAATGTTAAAACCAGCACCTTAAACCTGATCCTGTACTCCACCGGGAGCCAGTGCAGCTGGTATAGCACCGGATGAATGTGATCTCGCAGCGAAGAACCCGTAAGGAGTCTCGCCGCAGCATTCTGCACCCGCTGGAGTTTCTGGGTCAGTCTCAAGGGCAGCCCCACATAGAGCGAGTTACAATAATCCAGTCTGGAGGTGACCGTCGCGTGGATCACAGTGGCTAGGTCAGGGCGAGAGAGGTAAGGAGCCAACTGCTTAGCTTGGCGGAGATGAAAAAATGCCGCCTTTGTTATAGCTGCAATCTGCGCCTCCAATAGTTTGAAAGCACACCAGCGCAAGTAGATAAACAGGTACCGCTCCGGCAGGAAGGTAAACGGCGCTTCTGTGTGCTGCTCTGGTTCTCCAGAAGCGGCTTAGTCATGCTGGCCACATGACCCGGAAGCCAGTAAAGCGAGATGAGTGCTGCAACCCCAGAGTCGTCCGCGACTGGACCTAACGGTCAGGGGTCCCTTTACCTTTTACCTTGGACATGCAATGTTGACTTACGTCACATACCCCCTAAGTTGGTACAATGGTAATCTTCCAGGGTTTACCTCTGCAAATAACCGGTGATTGGTCTACTTACCTGGACAGGATAAGTTTAGTTGAACAGTTTGATTTACACTTAGGGATATACGTTTTTCTCTTGCCTATAGTATCATACATCTCCTTGTTCAATTTGGGCAAGCCTCAAATTCCTTTAAGGCACCCGCCTTACCTTGAGATTAGAATTATACACCCTTGGCCAATACATGTTGATCCTTCCTATATTAAGGTTTTGGATATGTTACATAAAACAGCCGTCTCGTGTAATTCTACGATTCTATGTGTGAAAAGATCTAAAGCCTACTTAGCTTTGACTAGTTCCCTTTCTGCTTGTAATAAGAAATAAACTGTTTTTCATCCCTTCACACAATAATGACGTAAAGGGATACGATCCAAAAGCCCACATCTCTTTCTCCACCCCTTCCCACTTCTGTTTCCTTCCTTTTTTAAAAAGGGAAAAAATACCGGGGGTTGGACTAGATGACCCTTCGTGGTCCCTTCCCATTCTGATTTTATGTTATTTTGCAGAGATTCCTTGTTGCACAAACACAGCATGCCCCGGGTCATAAAAGGTTCCTCGTACCAGGAAATGCCCAGTGCTTAATGAGATTATGGATCACCAAAGGTTCAGCCAAACTGATCTTTGAAAGTTTCTGTGATCTGACAGCTGACAATTTTCATCTGGAACTATGACGCTTCCTTTAAAAAGAAAAAAAGACGAAGTAAATTTATTGGGCAACACTATAAGTATTTTCTATATTTGGAGCTGTCCAAGCTCTACCCTAATTATAGTGTCACAGAGAACAACACAACAGCAGAGTTGTTTTAAGTAACTGAGCACTTTTGGTTTTCTAGCAAACTACACTATTTATGAGTAGGATCAATAATGTTAGAAGCTGAAGTCTAGGTGTCTTTTAGGAATTGGTCTCTTACAATGCTGAGGCTAAAAACTGAGGGTGGTGTGTGTGTGTATCCCTTAAAAAAAGAAAGAAATCAAACCCTATGAAAGATAAATAAAACCGTAGCCTGTATGATAGATGTACGTTTTGATTAGAACAATTTGGCTTTGTTTGGAGTACCGAAGAGTGGCATATATTCAGACTAATTTCCCTCCAGAATTATTATTTTTTCCCTTGCAATGCTAAAACATATTTTCACCGGACTCGCTGTCTGCATCCGGTGACTAATCGTCATGGCACCTGGTGCATTCAGGCAGCCCTGTGCAGTGGAATAGTCATACCTAGTTATGTCTGCACACCTGATGTTTTATTAACTAGTATTGATTTTTTTACCCGGGGGACTTTTTTCTTCCTGTAAAAAGGCAACCTTGCAGGAGTGAAAGGCATTGCAGGGGATGAATTTCTAATGAACCCCTTCTCTCCCCTCTCTCTCTCTCCCCCTCTCCTCTTTTTTGACTTCTCTTTAATGTGGCTTCATATTTTAAGTGCCTGAACTGAAATTTCATTTTAAGCAATTCCATTTTGATAAATCCTTTTGAACCTTGACTTTCTGTAAGGTTATTTAAAAAAAAAAAGATTGTGCTGCTTGACTGACACACTTAGTACTGCCTGTAAATTTGAGCATTTCATTATAGGCTGCAATGAAGCATGCTCACATGCAATGAAATACAGAGAATTTAGGAGTCTGACCACTTGAGTAATGCTAAAGAAAAGGTATGGGGGGGAATGCATCCTCATCTATATAAAGGAGCACCAAACATTTTGTTGGTTAATTTGTTTTTAGTCCTCAGAATTCGGTAGCATAAACTAGATCTCTGTTTAGAATCTAAATATATAAATAATAACCCTGCCTAGGATTTTGTTATATTATGAAATAGCAAGTAGAGCACTTATTTTGTGGGGTTTTGGGGGGGGGTATTCTATGTGCTCATGCAGCACATGTGCTCTATGCACACTGCACACACTTAATGCTGGTTTCCGACCTGTTTTTATGGCTGAAAGGTTTGACCGCAGGACCAGAGCAGGCTGGGTCATTTGCATTGCCATCTTCTTTGTAGATTAAACTGGGACTGACCTGTCCGAGAGAGGGAGGGAGGGAGGGAGGGAGGGAGAGAGAGAGAGAGAGAGAGAGAGAGAGAGAGAGAGAGACCCACCTTTTCAAGGAATGCATGCCATGATTCTGTGCTAACTTGCTCATATGTGCAATTGGTCCCTTACCTCTCCCGCCCTGATCTCACCACTTTGCTTCATGCGACGGTCACCTCCAGGCTTGATTATTGTAACTCACTCTACGTGGGGCTGCCCTTGAAACTGACCCAGAAACTCCAGTGGGTGCAGAATGTCTTACGGAGTCTTCGCCACTGGATCACATTCATCCAGTGCTACACCAGCTGCACTGGCTCCCAGTGGAGTACAGGATCAGGTTTAAGCTGCTGGTTTTAACCTTTAAAGCCCTATCCGGCCTAGGACCCTCGTACCTACAGGACCACCTCTCCTGGTACGCCCCATGGAGGACCTTATGGTCTACAAATAATAACACCTTGGAGATCCCGGGTCTCAGAGAGATTAGGCTGGCCTCAACCATGGCCAGGGCCTTTTCAGCCTTGGCCCTGGCCTGGTGAAACACTCTGCCACAAGAGTTCACCTGCAAGATGGAGTTGTTCTGCTAGGCCTTTGGTCAGGGCTCAGCCTGACTCCCTTTTTCTTTTTGTATAAGAACTAATATGAAAAAGGCCTCCCAGCATTCTCACAGGCCCATATAAGATCAGCGTAAACAGTTGGGCCGATGAGCACTTACTGTTCTAATTAGACTTTAATTTGATTTTGACGTGTTTTTAGGAGGTAATTTAATTATTGCTTGATTTTATAGTAATGTTATATATGTGGTGTTAGCCGCCCTGAGCCCGACTTCGGCCGGGGAGGGCGGGATATAAATAAAAGTTGTTGTTGTTGTTGTTATTATTATTATTATTATTATTATTATTATTATTATTATTATTATTATTATTATTCTATCTCCCCACGTGGTTAAGAACTGGATGCAGGAAAAATAGTTGAGATAACCTCTGTGCTTGTTGGAACTTTAGGGATGATTTAAAATGGAGGGGCAGTTTTAAAAGCAAGCAATCCCTTTTAAATGTTGTTGTTGCTTTTTTAAGTGACTTGTTTTTGTGCCACAAGGCTTTATATGTACTATCTAACCACGTGCCTTGGACAGGTGGTGGCAGAGGTACAGAAAACCCCCACTTCATTCTCCCTCCTCCAGTGTCCTGGCTTCTTCACTCCACTATTCCCTTTCTTCCTTCACTCCCACTTCTCAGGTGCAAAGTTACCTCCTCTTCTGAACTTTCTTGTGACATGTTGTCTTGGGTATCCACCCCTCCTCTGTAGGTTAGCAGCAGTACCACTTTTACACGCTTAATAAATACAACCCAGGTAGTTAAGAAAGCCCAACAGAGACTCCATCTCCTCAGAGTATTGCGAAAGAACGATGTCAACCAACATTTGATGATCTCCTTCTACCGGTCCACAATAGAAAGTGTCCTTTCACACTGCATCACGGTGTGGTACGCTGGTTTGACATCAACTGATGGGAAGTGCCTACAGAGGGTGGTGAATACAGCACAAGGTATTATGGGCTGTCCTGTGAATCCGCCGGATGAAATAGTGGAAGAACGTTGCCTCAGGAGAGTGAGGAAAATTCTCAGGGATGATTCACACCCTGGCCGGCACTTTCTTGATCTCCTGCCCTTGGGCAGAAGATACAGAAGCAGGATTAGTCGCACCAACAGGGTAAAGAACAGCTTCTATCCGTGGGCTGTTAGGCTGCTGAATGAAAAGATAACAACAGGGCAACTGACTTCCAGTTTTGGTGGGTGTGTGTCAGTAAACGAGGGCAATTAAGACTAAGAGAGCTGAGTGAGGGGTGCTCGTATAATCTCACGGTATACAAGTTGTACAAGTGGCAATAAAGTATTTCAATTTCTATTTCAATTAACACACACCAGCTTGATGCTTCCGCCATGACGAAGGTGCAACAAAGAGGCAGAAGTCAGGAACTGGCTTAAAAAATATCCGTGGTGGACTTAGTCATGGATTATTTTGTTTCAACTCCTCGGTCTAGCTAAGCCAATACCGAAAGTGATAGTTCATCAAACGATATCATTTTATTCTTCAGCATATGCCAGGATGAGCCCCTGTCTTCACACTGCCTTTGTGATTTGCCACAATAGACTAGGAGGCAGCAGGAGGAGACTGCCGGCCAACATTCATCATCAGTGGATGACTTTTGACAGCTAGCATGCACCAGCACAATAATGTACGTAAATCATGGAAAGTCTTAATTTTCACTGAGTATCTTCTTTTTCCTCTCTTCAGTTTTTGGCGCTTGGAACGCATTATGGCAAAGTTTATTTACTCGATGTCCAGGGGAATATCACCCAGAAGTTTGACATTGTAAGTACAACCACTTCTTTGCAGCCTCGTGCTATATTTGGAACAACCCACCATGTCCGGAATTTCGTTGATCTCCTCTGAGCCCCTTTTTTGACAAGTGTACTACTGCCAGCTGTGTGACCTGGACTGAAGTAGCACAACACAACTGGCTTCAGATTCACTGCAGCAGACAAGGAGAGTCTCCTGCATGGCAAAATGGCAGCCATTGAAAAACGAATAGCATTCAGCGGTTCCCCCAACCGTCTCAACTAGGGCCCAGTTCCTGTGTTGCCAAAGCATTGTGGTCAGTGCTGTTGGCTTGGTCCCACATTGTCTTTGGAATATGGCTATTTTCAGGGCCACACTTGGTGCCGTAGCCACAGTCACAATTAACACAACTCATCTGCATGCCTTGGGTCCTTGTGGCATCTATAGGCACGGAGCAGTTTGTTAGCTTCCCTATTGTTGATAGTTAGTATGTGTCCTATCATATTGAGATGCCAAAAGTAATTGAAAATTGATTGATTGCCTTGCTACTTCAGTTTATCTACTGCAAATATATAAAGCTAATATTTTATGTGAATGTCCTGAAGCTTGGTCTCTTAAGGGATTGTATTGATTGAAGGAGAAGAGGAAGATTTTTTCCCCTCTCCATGTGATTTCCTGGAATCTTAGAGAACAAACACAATGCAGAATTTATGTAAAGTCATATTCTGGGGCATAAAATATACCTCTTGTAGGCCGTATGCAGTTGCTGCTCAAGAAAAATATTTATAGTATTTGTCTTAAATTGTCACATGTTCCGGTAGGCTTTCTTTTCTTTTTTCAAAGACCATTGTCAGCACTTAGCAAAGTGTCCATCACAAGGTGTCAACATGCTTGCAAAACATAATGCGTGTTCCAATGCTGCCATAGCAGTCTTTTATGAGAAAGGTGAAAGGTTACTTTTTATTTTTTAAAAAAACCTAATTATACAATTGTTCCCCCAAACCCACTGCTAGGAGCAACTTTTTGAAGGGTTGTTGTTGTGTGTGTGTGTATAGACAGACAGACAGACAGACAGACAGACAGACAGAGATGCTATGGGCCACCCTGCTGTGCTGGCTGCCCTTGGATCTGGTGCCTGTTAACCTGGGAGTAAGCTCTGTAGAACTCAGTGGGACTTCCTTCTGAGTAGACAGGGGTAGGATTATGCTAGAACTGGTGTGTCCAACAGCCTTGATAAGAAAAAGGGGTTGGAAGAAGAAAGGAAACCCTTCCCAGCTGCCTTGTAAAGGCAAGAGGGTTGGGTTGCTTGTGGTAAGGAACAAATCCTGTGTTCTTTTGGTTTTGGGGTGAAAACAAAGAAAAGGAGACACTCCTTTTCTGCTGCCCTGGTGGGGTAAAAAATGGGAATGAGGGGAGAGGGAAACAGAAGAAGCAGTTGGCAAGTGGGGAATGGGGCACACAGGGCATGTGCCTGGACTCCCCTCAAACATGGCGTCAGCACCACAATGTGCCCTCAGGTGCCTCTGGAGTTCTAGATCAATCTGTAGGTGACGGAAAATGAGGTATCTATTGCCATCTTAGTTCTGAGTAGCTCATGACCATTGCCCAAATATAACTGTTTATCCAACTTTTGTTTCAAGCCCTCTTTGAAAGGTGAAAGTAGTGGGAGATACGGAAGGGCAAAAGGCTATTTTTGTTCAACAAAAGAGCTCCCATTCTCCAAGCTTCAGCCTGAAATACAGTGGGGAGGCAACTTAAACGGAGGGCGGATCTTCCGAAAATGTTGCAGAATCCCTAACGACTCCTGACCGCACACTGATTATTTCGATATGTTTCTCTCCCGCCCGCCTTCCCTCTCACAAACATGGCTGCATCTTCGTCGGTGACACCTGCTTAAGATTAACCGATATGTGTTCTTGGATCCTGAGCATTTGACATACTGGTGTTCTCTTGTATTAGGGTTCAGTGCTTTGAGTGAGATGAAATGTGTCAAATGAGTTGAAAATTATGACTTAAAGGCAATGGAGAAGAAAAGCCTGGCTAACTCCATTGACAAAGGAAGGTGCGGAAGCGATTTACAGCATATTAATTCCAAATGCCTCTTCATCTTTTCTTAAGATGGTCTACAATTTATTAATATAATTATTGCCGCGACTGACATCCTTGTAGATTAAAGCGTTGTAGATGTGAGAGCTGTACAAACACATTTAGCTAAGTAACAAATCAAAAAAATGCTTTCAGAAGGGGCGGGGTAGAGAGAATTCATGCCCTGTTGCCTGGTGTATTTAATAAATACATATTTAGAGCAAGTACAGTAACAAGAAATGGCTTGTGCCAACAAAAGTGTTGCACTTCCCTTGGAGAGGAGAAAATGCAGACTGCTTTATAAGCAGGGTTGGTTTTTTAATATTTAATGGTTTAGTGGTGATGCATGAGTGTGGAAAACAAATTTAAATATATAATGTTTTGAAGCGTTCTTTGGGTGGAAGGAAATTGAAATCTTTTCAGCATGTTGTTCTTCTAAGGCCTTTCTCAAATGGGGGAATTAAGAAAATAGCATGAAATATTTAAGAACCACCCCCTTGCTGTGGAATTTTTTAACATGTGTTTGCACACTCCTTCAAAGCCTATTTTTAAATATTTGATGGCTTTGAGAATTCGAAATTTTTTTGTTTAATCAGAATGGCAGAAAAAGTTAAAAGTAGTCAGGTTGCCTCTTTGCAACCTTGAAAACCCAGAGGTTTTTGTAGCACTTAGAGCCATATTAAAGTTTCAGTGTTTAAGAACATCGAAAGACCCCTGCAGGATCACACCAAAGGTCCGCTTAAGCCCAGCATGCTGTGTCTCAAAGTGGGCAGCTTGGTGCTTCTGTGAGCAAGACGGAAAAGCTGCTGCCCTGCCAGAAAGCATCTCCTGCCAGAAGTGTCCTGTCTCTAGCTGTGGAGGTTTCATTTTTGGGTCATGGCAGACATAGCCTCCACAAATTTTTCCAATCCCATTCTGGGAAGGAGGACCATCGCTGGGCGGTAGAGTGTCTGCTTCAGCACAGGAGGTTCCAGGGTCAATCTCTGGTATCTTCAGGTAGGCCTGGGAGTGTCCTCCTCTTGAAGCCTTGGAGACCCTCTCCCAGTGAGCATAGGCAGTGCTAAGCTAGATGGCTCCCCTCACTAGAAGGCAACTTCTGGTACACTGCCTTGGTTTGTCAACAGGTAAGCGAGTGGCGCTGTGGTGTAAACCACTGAGCCTTGGGCTTGCCGATCGGAAGGTCGGCGTTTTGAATCCCTGTGACAGGGTGAGCTCCCGTTGCTCAGTCCCTGCTCCTGCCAACCTAGCAGTTCGAAAGCACGTCAAAGTGCAAGTAGATAAATAGGTACAGCTCCGGCAGAAAGGTAAACGGGGTTTCCGTGCGCTGCACTGGTTTACCAGAAGTGGCTTAGTCATGCTGGCCACATGACCTGGAAGCTGTACGCCGGCTCCCTTGGCCAGTAAAGCGAGATGAGTGCCGCAACCCCAGAGTCATTCACGATTGGACTTAACTGTCAGGGGTCCTTTACCTTTTTAAGGATTTCATGCTACAGGAACTATTGAGGTTGATCTGAGGCTTCTTATTACCTTGATGGGATTATCCACAAAGCGTGTCATGCTTCGAAAGTCCTTTTAAACCACCCCTCCACCCACTGCCACACTTTGCCCTGCTTCAACCCATATTCAGTCTCTCCTTTCTCACAAGTTCATCTTCCTCAATCCCATGCACATTTGATGAGTGACGCATTTTGTAAACAGCCCTGATACCGTTTTACATTTGACAGGGAAGCAAGCCTTATAATGACTCTGTTGGTGTTATTACGGTGGATGATAAAGAATCCAGTTAATTGCTTTCAGAAAAATAATGCTTTGCTCCCCCCTGCCCCCACATAGCATGGAAGTTTACTTCTATTGATTTAAGATGGAGAAATATTTTACTTCGGGTTGCACTTTCATATGCGTTAGTCTTTATCACTTCACATGTTTTGACAGGCCGTGTAAATGTTTCTGTTTATTACTCTAACGGCATCATTTCAGTTGTCTTTGTCAGTAGCACAGAAGACAAAGCAGCGAAACGCCAACTAGACCGCAGAATTGAATGTTTACGTGCTTTTGAAAATAATCTGCTAGGGTACTCTGCTTATTAACTCTGTGGGTGCAATTCAAGAAACGTTAGTTGCATTGAAGTCTCGTTGAAATCAATAGGACAAATCCCCTCGCTTTGAAACGGGTTGTTCACATTCACAGATGCGAAGTACAGTGGCACCGCAACTTACGTAGATTTTGCTTGCACGATCGCAGCTTTATTCCGATTGCCAGGGAAGAAGGAGTGAGTGAAGACCTGCCTCAGAAACAGCGGAGGAATAAAAGATATGCATCAGGAACGGCGGGAGGAGGGGGAGGGATGTGGTGGCGGCAGCAGCAATCTTTGGAGGCCTGATCCACCGCAGCTGTGCATCCTGCCGCTTGAGGCAGTCGCCTCACCTTGCCGAATGGGTGGGCCGGCCTTGTCTGGTGACACCTGCAAGATCTTGCAGGGCAGTCCATCATGTTGTGATAAGCAAACTGGTTGCTGAACCCCTGAACTACTTGCCTGAAGTCACCTCCTTGCTTTGGCATATTACCTTTGGTATGTTCCCTGTTGTAGGAGCTCAGCAGAGTTAAAAGACTACGCTGTGCCAAACTCTTTAAGAGACAGGAAGCTTATTAGATAGATGTGCGTTTGCTAAATCCCAACAACCTTTTAAAAGTATTGGGGGATTTGGAAAGGATTGGCTCCTAAGAAACTAGCATACTGCTGAGTCCCTTGGCTTTTCCCCTTTCCCCTAAGCTTCATTTTCTGCTTGCGCCCACCATTTTTCCGGTGAGAAAGAGACAGGGAAGTGGGCAGTTGTTTAAAAGTTGCAAGTTCTCAAACCTTATGAGGAGTAAAGATAAAAGTATATCCATTTTAATTCCAAGTTTTTATAATTCATCCTCGAACAGTCAACTGCTCTCTAACATATGAT